GAATGAGGCCGGCGAAACTTCTGGGAATGTAGCAAGTCAAAAATTCTATGTTGGAAATCATCGTGAATACTATGACAGAGGACGTAGGACCGGGTACGTTGCACAAGATCTTTTTGTCGCTCCGATTAAGTTGAGAAGATCAAAAATATACTACACAATGTTATTCCCTTTTCGAATTTTTGGTTTTTTCATGATATATGCTGTTATTATTTTAAAACTAAATAAATTACCCATAGTCCATTTATACTTTTCACAGCTTTAATTAATGGAGTATTCTTTAATTTTCTATAGACGTCTATCCTACCAATATGGGCCACTTCTCTGGGGACCATCATTCTGGCTCTCTCTGGGGTCATCCTGGTCTCCGAAATATTCCTTCGTTCTCACTTGATGATCCCTCTATTAATCACCACGCTAGCCCCTCATCAGAAATTCACAAATTGTCTAATACTTCAGATTCTACATCTATTGGCGTTACTTCCTTTCAAGAAGTTCGTAGGCGAAACATCTCGGTCCTTTCTGATTTGTCAGAATCACCAAGCCGGCATTGTAACCCAACCTCCCTTCTTGTTGAACCCATCTTACGGGCTAACCTTGCTGAGCCTGAGCCGGATGACGATATGGATACAGTCAGCAGTCCTATTTTTTCTGGTGGCTTAAAGTTAAAATTAGGGGATGCTTCTCATCACAGTCCTCGATCGGCTTCAGCTGCAACGAATTCGGTTCCCGGTCCCGAGGCACACCTACATCTCAGTGAACTAGACGCTGTAATTCAGGAACTTTGCGATACAAATTCAGAAGCTTCAGCCAATGCGAAATAAATTAAATCGGCTCACCTTTAATGAGCATCTAACTTTCCGATTTTGCGCTTCCCTAGTCCTGCTTTTTGGTTCATTAGAGCTATTCTAATTTTATTTGCAAGGCCTAACCGGGTTCCTCGAGAGATCTATCCATTCTAAGAGTGTATAATTAAACTATACAATTGCTGATCAGTATACTGACAGGCTTTTTAGGATTTGGTTTTAGTGAAGTTTTAAAGTGATTTGCGAGCAGTGGCTTCAAAAATAATAGTTTACAATCGTATCTATTCGTATTGTTTTACAGTTCTGGATCAAATACTTTCGAGGAGTACCTTGGCTGGACTTTTCGCAAATTTGTATCATCTTAACTTTGCCTTTTT